TCTGCCTCTGTGTGTGTATATATTTTTGTGTGTCTCTGTACAAACAAGCAGATATATATGTATATCTACCAAATGAATGAAAAACAACAACAGAATAACAACTATAGATATAACTTCCATAAATGCCGCTCAATATGTGGGACGCAATTAAAAACAAAAATAAAATAAAAGCGGCAGCGCAAAACATTTGTAATTGATTTGTTTTCCATACAATTGATTGTCTTCTGTTTGCTTTTATTTTTGTTAATATTGGGAACTGGTTAAGGCTTACTTTTTATATTTACTTATTTTTTTTTCTGCGTTATCTTCAATTAATTAAAAGATAAGAAACAATGAATGGAATAATGAATGAGATTTACAGCTCAATTAAACCAAAATTAATTTTATTCAACAAGAGATTTTCAGTTAAGAGCTCATATTTCTTTATTAGCTTTCATATTTAAATTTCAATTTAGTATGCCACATATAAATATCTAACCTCTTAAATCGATTAAAATTTTACAGAAATTAAATTTTTCTAAAAAATAATGCAAAATAATTTAAAACATTTATATTGGTTGCATTTATTTTGCGCCTCTCTGGTGACTGAAAGGGTTCGAAAGCGTACAATTTGGATCGGGATCGGGTGAATAGCAATTAATGGAACAGTGCAAGCGTAAGATTGATTGGCAATTGCCAATCAACGCAACCTGCGACGTGTCAGAAATTAATGGGCTAAGCGAGACAAAACTTTTGAGCGGTTTTTCTTTTTTTCTCTCCTATTTCATTTTTTTTGAACGGCAGCGGCGGCCAGCACTCAAATGACAATTTCCGGCCGTCAGTTTGGCAGTGCCAATAAATTGGCAACCCTGCTCGTATTTCAACGGCCACGCAAGAAAAAAGCGAAAAAGCACCAAATACCTAATACCAAATACCGAATAGCGAATCGAAAAAGGCCGCCATCTCATGTATACGAATGATATGATGTGGGTGCCTAGAAAAATGACTCTGGCAGCGATAACCATAAAGTTTTATGGCATTTTACATAGCATTAGTCGGTCCAAAAAAAGGTAAAGCCCGAGAGTGTCTGTGAATGTTGTTAGCCAGTTACTAAATTTGGCTTAAATGAAGGCGAAACTTGTTACGTAGCCGGCCGGTGGGCCACCAGTCGTCGTCCCACATGGTCAGCATCTCTGGCTCAAATCATGAATGAATATATAGCAGAAGTCGGTGTCACTCTGTCAGTTTGTCACTCATTCACTCAGTCAGTCAGTCAGTCAACTGGCCATAATTGATTTTCGAAACGAGCGCAATAAACATGACGGCGACAAATTTTTCGTCTAAAATGTGACAAAATCGTAAAAAAAAAGACGGAAAAAAAGAGCAAAAACCGACGACACCATATCGAAAAAGCGACAAAAAGTCGTGGCCATATGGACAACATGTGCATGCGACTGCAGAAATTGTTAATTCATTCATTAAGAGTCCACCAAGTGGTCGTCCAAAAAACCAAACGAAACCAAATCTAATGGGCGCGACTCGGAAAAAAGCGACTTGGAAATTATTTCAGTGGGCCGCAGAAGACAAAAGGAAGCTCAGATGGTTGAACTTTTATAGGAGCGGAGTTTTCTTAGAAAAGGTTTTATTGGGAAATCTGATAATTATATAGTAAAGGCTTAAAATGTCAGATACAATAGAATTTTTCAACTTAAAGTGTAAGATTACTAAGAAATCTATTATGGTACAAACGTATAAAACGTAGGTTTGCTTAGAACCCCTGTAGATAAATATATAAAATCTTAAAAAAAAATACATTTCTTAGATCCTAAATCAGAATACTTAAAGAGGTATTCAGTAAATTTAAAACCACTTCAAAGAAACAGTGAGGTAGAAAAAAATCTAACTCCATATAAATGTATCCCTAAAATACATTTAATTATATAGTAGTTTTTAGAATCGTATTTAATTTCTCAACAAATGTATCCTTAAAATCTTTGAAATTAGATGGCATTGAAATTATCCTAATGAAATACAATTATGATACAATCATATAAAACATTTTACGATAGTAAATATTATGGCTCTTAAACCAGAACCGCGTATTGAAATGCATAAGAAAACTAATATGATACAATTATATAAAACCGTTTTAAATATTTCATCAATTTTACAACCAGAACCAGTATATATTTAAGATCACTTTTCGAGGGAGTATAAGAACTTTCATAATGGAACTTTAAAAACCTCCTTAAATCATATAGTATTTCTGAAAGATGACCCCCCTTTGCGTCTTGAAACGTCCCTGGCCTGGTCTCATCATTCAGTCAGTCAGTTGCTCATTCATTCAGTTCACAACCACGCGCCCTGTGGCTGCATTTGGTGGCTAATTTGCATAGTTTTTCAGCTCGGTGTGCTTTATATTGCGTTGGCGTTTCGGCCCGGATCGTATTGGATCGTATACTCGCAAACGTATATGTGTACCCATATGTAGGAACCTTAAGGCCTGGGAAAGTGTTGCGGCCTGCCGAATGATAATGATAATGATGGGCTACATGGAGATGATGATGACACTGTGGGAAACCTTAGCAAATGTGGGCTGCTGTTGCTAATGAGCTTGTAGTGTCAGCAGAAACAGAAAAAGAAAAAATAAATAATAAAATAAATAGTGTGTGTGTTTGTGTTAAAGGCAAAAGAGTTTTTACTCGAAAATAGAAAATTGCTGAAACAACAGAACGCTCAAATGTCGGGGTCTTGGATCAAATGGCCCATATGTGTGTTGTTCTGCGTCTGTTTATTGTTTTGTTCACTTTATCCGCGCTTCCGTTGCAACATTTCCGCAGCTGAGGCAAGCGAAAAAAATATATAAGAGCAACAAAAAAATAAGGGAAATTAAATAAGGCAAATAATTCTGATTATCTAATTCCCATTTTAATGCAAGAAAGAACGAGTACCTCGACTATCAGATACCCGTTACTCCGCTAAAGGAAGTGCGAGGGAGATAAAGATATGCATGCAAAAAAGCCACTGCTTGCACTGCTTGCCCTGCTGAATTTCATTACTTGCTCATAACTTTTTAATGAATGGATTGATTTGAAAAAGTTTTTCTACATTTCTATAGGTATTAATTAACACAATAAATGTAATTTTCAGCTTTACAAAATCTGTAAAGATATGGGCTTCAGTCCTTTTTTAGACTCTGTACTTTCCAACAAATACAATATACCCTTTTTTACCCTCCGAGTAACGGGTATAAGAACCCAAAGCAAACTCGATTAATTCATTCATTTAAGCAAAGGCGTGAGAAATTGATTGGGCTGCTTGCCTTTGCTTTTGCTAGAAAATAAATATTTGCTAAATTGGAATTTGAGTTGTCATATCCGCTGTGCGAGCATATAAACCGCCGGAATATAAAAATATATATATATCTGCAGATCTCCGTATGCGTATGCCCATCTATATGGTATATAGAGCGGCCAGTATTTTTAGTTGGGTGTTCAATCTTCTCGAGACTGGGGGGCAGACAGCGAAATGAAATGGTTACAGTGCGTGTTCAGTTGGCTGGGCGCCCGCCATTCGGCTTCTTTTGGCATGAATCATCGCCATGATCATCATCACTATCTCATCATCATCATCATGATTATCATCTTGGTGGCTAGAACGGCCGGGTTTTGCATTTTACAAAAATACGCATTTTTATGTTTACGGCGTAGTCTGGCAGACACAGGAGGAGGCGACTCTCCCCCGCCTCCTCACGCACTCATAATTCCCAAAATCCGAAATAGTTTTTTGGCCAGCAAAGAAATTTACAACTTTGTCGCCGCACCGAATTCAATTTGCCAAGAGATATCGAAAAGTTGCCAGCAGAAGAATATGGCAAATTTTCCAAACTGCGTACTACGAAGAGAGAAGATATTTTGTTTATCGTCTGAGTATACGAGCTGTTAGAAATATCCCGCCATGGGCCGAAATAAATAATGTGTACATAAATTTGCAGAGCTCTCACCTATTAAAAGGTTATCTCTCCCTCTGCCTTTTTGGGATCTATTCTAGAAAATATTCTTTTGGCTAATTGTCTAAACAAACGGTGCGAAACTATGTTAGCGCATCGACTGAAATTCGTTCCCTTCGGGGTTTACCGAATATCCTCTGTTTTGGTTGTTATTCATTTCGGACTTGTTGCACAAGACACGTGTGGTTCGTTATTTGTCAGGGGATACAAGGGATATCACAGGTAAAAGTAAGCAAATTTAAAAGGGTGTGAATCAATCGACCAAAACATATTGCCAAAACCTGGTTTGCATCCATTTCTTGATTTTCCAAGTGAAAAACAATCTTGAAACTATTGGCATTCATGGTTTGCGTCTTCATTTAATTTAGTAGAATATTTGCTCTTAGTTTAGGTAATTACTTTTGTAAATTTTATGCGAGTTTTAAATAATCAAGTTAGACTTTCATTGATAAAAATAAGGCTAAATATTCTTGATAATAAATATGTAATTATAGATTTATCTCAAATCTAATTTAATTTCATAAATGATCATACAAATGAAAACCTCTATACGATATATTCGTTTACTTGTTGTTATTAATTAGGTATTTAAGTCCCCAGGGGAATTTTTTTTAGAACTCCTAAAAGCTAATAACACAAAACATCGTATATTAAAATTAATTTAAAATTTAGGTAATTATTTTGGTTTATTTGGAGTAAATTGACTAGGAGTTGGAGAATATATATAAGAGGTACCCCGACAATAAAAACCACAAAACTAAGGGAATGGGCACATTTTAAAAAGCGCGCTTACTGAATTCATGCTCCACTGTGGAGAGTTTATGGAGAGTTTTTTTTTTTGCCCCGCCAGAAGGTATGCTACATTTTTTTAGAAATATTTGTATGTAAAAAGAATGCTATAATTTCAAAAGAACTATGGTTCGAAAAATAATTATTTATGTTTCAACAAATAATTAAAAATTAATATATAAGATTTAATTTTAATATTAAATAAAAATTTATTTTCACTTACCGGAATTTTAGATGTGCGCAGGAACTCCAGAAGAGCCTCCAACGAACCCAGCGTGGAGGCCTGGACATGAACGCCTGTAGAAGCCAGTTTAATGTGACTGAGGGCACTCTTTAGCTCCCGAGCAACTTCATCTCTAAAATAAAAATAAAGGAGAATTTTAAGCACATAAAAGCCAGGAAAAAAACCTAATATACCAATTAACTAATATTTTTACAAAATTAATATAACGTTTCTAGAAAATTAAAGGCAGATATCTAAGAAAATTTAAATTTAACTTAAAAAGTTTTAATAAATGCAAGTAAATGGCACCTAACAATTTTACATTGCTGCTTTTCATTAGTAATGAATAAATAACTATATACGCACGTGCAAATTTCGACTTCATCGGGCTTGTGGGCAATCAGCAGATTGATGCCGGCGATGGCCTTCTCCAGATCCTTGGCCGCGATCTTGACGCCCTGGGCCGCCTTCACCTCCTTGTACTCCACATAGGCGTTCTTCACGCGCAGCTCCTTCATGGGCTGCGGCATCAGAAGCGAACGGATCTGGGTGACGATGGGTCCATCTGTGCCGGCCACCACCATGGTTTGTCCCTCGCGCAGCTTTCCATTAATCAAAATAGCATCGATGGTGGTTCCCAAACCGGGCAGAGCCTTCACCTCCAGCACGGTGGCCTGCAGCTCCTCGGAATACATCAGCCGCTTGGCCAGCATATTCTGGCAGAAGTCGGCGATCATGAAGAGCAGATTGCCCATGCCCTCGCCCGTTATCGCACTGGTGGGCACCAGCGAAATGTACGTCTTCGGATCCGTGTTCTCGTAGAAAAGAGCGGCATTCAAGCCCTGCTCGGCAAACTGCAGGATTACTTCCTTGGTGCGCTGCGTGAACTCCAGCTGCGTGTTGCTCGCCTGCTCCTTCAGCACATCGCGCACATCTCGCCTGCCCAACTGCTTCCAATCGTACAGACGATCGATCTTGTTGAGGGCCACAATGAACGGGCACTTCTTCTTTTTGAGCAGCTGAATGGATTCGATGGTCTGCGGCTCCAAGCCGTGCATAATGTCCACCACCAGGATGGCAATGTCGCAGAGGGAGGATCCACGGTTCCTCAAATTGCTAAACGACTCGTGACCGGGAGTGTCGATGATCAGCAGGCCAGGCAAACGATGCTCAAATCCAACGGAGGCCTTCACATACTTGGTCTGCTCCTTGATGGCATCGATGGGCACATTGGTGGCTCCAATCTGCTGCGTAATGCCGCCCGCCTCGGAATCCTGCACATGCGTGCGCCGCAGCTTGTCGAGAATCTTTGTTTTTCCCGTATCCACATGACCGAGCACACAAACCACTCCGGCTCTCAGTTCATCGGTGGTCCGCTTCCTCTCGGCTTCATCTTGACGCTTGAGGATTCGCGCCTCTGCACGGAGTCTTCGTGACTCTGGATCGTTGGCCTGTGCCGTTTCCTTTTCCTGCGAGTCATCGCTATCCTCATCGGAATCATCGCTGTCATCGTCATCCTCCTCATCGTCATCGTCGTCCTCGGATGAGGACTCATCCTCCTCCGCCTCGTTCTTCCCGTTGTTGGTAGCCTGCGAGGATTCCTCCTCCGGCTCCGGTTCCGCCTCGCTATCGGTGGCATCCCAGCTCTCCTTGACCACCTCCTCCTCGGTTTTTTCTTCCGCAGCTGCAGCGGCGGCAGCGGCAGCTGCTTGGGCTTCGGCTGCCTTGGCCTCCTCCTCGGCGGCCTCCTCCTTGGGACCCTTTTTCTTGTTCGGACGGATGCGGGTGCCTAAAAAAAAAGGAATATGTGGTTAATTGGCATGCTTAAGAGCTTATAATTTAGCGGAAAATTTAGATTATTACTGATTTGTGGCTGATGAGTAAAATAAAAATAAAAACAAATCGTAAAATTAAACTAAGGTCAAAATAATAATAATTATCATAAAATATTAATCAATCTCAACGTGATAATGAAAATAATAAATAAATAATTAAAATCTAGAAAATTCTTTCTTAAATTTTCTTCATCTAGAAAGGTTTTCTATATTCAAAGGCAAATTTTCTAAAAACAAGAATTATTTTTTCTATTTTCAAAAGTTAGGCCGTTTTAATGGCGAGATTTCTAAAATTTAGAAATTAATTTTTATAAGTTTAGTTTAATTTAATTGTTAGTAATAAGTAGACATCGAATTTTAGGTGAAATCGTTTTTTTTAAATACGATTTAAAGCCACATTTGATTGGTTACAAATTTTATTTATTAAGATATAATCACTATGGACGGCAGTCCATGTAGTGACGAAGCGCACCAGGAGAGTGTGCGAAGGCGACTACTATTATATAGCCGCAAAATTGAAAATCTGCTGTGATAGTCCGATCGTAATGAGTAATACACCAATCGAAAGGTATTGCAAAAACTTAAAGGATTGCATACCAAGACCTCAAGAAAATCAATTGGTTTGGGAAAGAGAGCGGTGAAAGTGTAAAAGTGAAAATTTAGAAATTTGGATCTGATGGGGCCGTTGGGGATAAATGCCCCCTCGCAATGTTTTAGTAGTTTTTCTATTAAAAATTCCCGTCGAATGAGGGGTCATATGATAAAATCCGACGCTCCGTTCAAAAGTTATAGCCAAAATAAGATTTTCTTCTTCTTCCCAAAATGAAATAATTTGTCCCTTTGTTTGTGGGTATGCATCAAATCGTGGTTTTAGGATCCTGAACTAAATTTTACTGTGCTTAGCAGCAGGATATGAACAACGTTTGTTCTACAACTTTTGGAAAAACCCGCTAGTTTGGCGGGAAATCATTGAAAAAAGCTAGATTTTGACGGCTTATAGTTTCTAAACGACCAAAGCTACAGACTCGTGCTACACCTCGTTAAAAAGGTAATTTAAAATGCTAATCGCGTTGCCTTGGGTAAAATTGGCTTAATGCAATAGTTTAAAATGTATGGCTAAAAGTTGTTTTTCTAAATCACTTTTTAGCTATTTTCTCAAAAACGGCTCTAACGATTTTCTTTACAACTTTAAACTGTATAGCCCTTGAGATTCCTTAAATTTTGGTATATAACACATTACTGTAAAAAGTCACGTTTAAAAGTTATTTTTATACGAAAATAGCCACTTTTGCCAGCTCGAACAACTAACGCTCCCTGAGTATTGAATTTTGTGGGAGGGTATACGAACTGTATTTTGGGGTCATGGAATCAGTAAATTTGCACTTAAGAGTTCCATAAAGGAATCTTTTGTTCTACGACTTTTGGAAAAAGCCGCTACTTTAGCGGGAAAAGCTAAAAATAGCTAAATTTCGTTAGTTTGTAAGTTCAACACTACTGAAGGTACAGACATGTGCTAAAACTCGTTTAAAAGGTATTTTGATATACTTCATCGCCTTTTTGACTTAATTCGTTTAAATACAATGGCTTACAAATTATGATTGACCAATTTAAATTTAAATGTATATATTAGCTCCTATGAGAGCAAGTGTAAACAAACAAAAACTTCTGATATCAAATAAAAACACCTCTTAACGAGGTAAAAAACTAGTGACGATCGCACCTTCAACATACAAAAGTTCTGATATCAACATTTGTGACGAAAAATTATTACACTCGTCATTAAATAGACTTTTTAATATTTTCTCATTCGGCACGCTGCAATAGAAAATGCCTGTAAAGGGAAAAAGGCTGGAATAGTTTGCTAGGGCGGGCCGAATGAGAAAATATTAGAAAGTCTATTTAATGACGAGTGTAATAATTTTTCGTCACAAATGTTGATATCAGAACTTTTGTATGTTGAAGGTGCGATCGTCACTAGTTTTTTACCTCGTTAAGAGGTGTTTTTATTTGATTAGATTTAGGCCAAAATTAATTGAGGTTTTTTTAAAAAAATTGTATCCAATCAAATGTGGCTTTAAATCGTATCTAAAAAAAACGATTTCACCTAAAATCCGATGTCTAGTAATAAGTAATAGTTTTAAGTCTTTTTTGTTCAAATAAGCTTGCTTTTCAAATTCAATGTGAATAGTGCTACAGATATAAGGATAATGATGATAAATAAATTAAATTGCATAGACTAATAATGGAATATAAGCATTTCATGGGACTTACATAACTTCTTCTATGGATTTTAATTAAAATACGTGAATATTATCTAGCATTCTTATCTCTCAATTAGCATTCTCGATCTTTAAACTGATTTGGCAACACAAAAATCAAGAAGAGGCGACACTTTCAAGCAAATGCAAAAGAGAAAGTCAAACTATTTACATAAAGCGTGTTGCACAATTCACAAATAAAATTATTTAAAGGGTTTTACTTGATTTTTTAGATAACTTTCTACTACTACTCTTATAAAACTAACTAAAAATCCAACTATCAGCTCACAAAACAGTAATTAATCCATATCTACCTAATCGCGCGGGTCGTTTCTCGGTGGGATCGGGTATCTCCAGACCCTGCGCTTTCAAAGAATCCAGCAGAGCCTGCGCCCTGGCGCGATCCTCCTTCTGCTTCTTGGTGAGCAGCTTGCCCTCCGCCTTCAAACGAGCCTTGCGCTCCGCCTCGCGCTGCTTCTTCTTCTCCTTCTTCTCGGCCTCCAGACGCACTGCCTCCAGGCGGGCCTCCTCGCGCTCATCCTCCAGCCGCATGCGCTCCTCCTGCTCGCGCTCCAGCCGCTCCTCCTCCTCCTTGCGCTTCTTCAGCTGCTCCTGCATGGCGGCCACCATGGCGGCGGACATGCCCTTCTTCTTGGTCTCCTTCTTCTCCTCCTCCGGCTCGGCCTTCTTGTCCTTCTTGCCCTTCTTCTTGTTGTTCTTGCCTGGTTTTTCCTCGTCTTCAACGGCTTCGCTTGGAGTTTCCTCGGTGGCCAAGGGCTCCGGTTCGGGAGCAGGTTTCTCCACGGGCACAGGTTTGGGTTTCGGTTCCGTGGCCGCCTTTTGCTTGGCCAAAGCAGCCTCCCGCTTCTGGCGCTCCTTCTTCTCCTTCTTCTTCTGCGCCGCCGACTTCATGGTGCTGCCGTTATCCTCCTCATCGCTAGCAGCCTCATCCTCGCCAGCAGCAGGGTTTTCTGCGGCCTTGGCCTGCTTCTTGTTCTTTTTCTTCTTGGCAAACTCATCGGCCAGCTCCTCGGGGGAGACAACAGTGGTGGCGGGAGGAGCTTCCCCGGCATATTCCGCTTGCAGCTCGGCCAGCACCTTGTCCAGATCCTCCTCATCATCGTCCTGCTTGCCCTTACGCTTGGCCTTCTTGCCCTTCTTCTCGTTCTTCTGCGGCTTGGCCACCACCACCTTTTCCTCCTCCTCCGAGGGGCTTTCCTGGGCCACCGGCTCATCCTGGTCGTCGTCGTCGCTCAGCAGCTCAAAGGCGGACTTCTTGGAGGCCTTGCCCTTGGCGGAAACCACCTCCTCCTCGTCGGAATCCTCATTTTTGGCTGCCTTGCCCTTTCCCTTGACATTCAGCTTCTTGACGCCCTTGGTCAGGGCTTGGACATCATCCTGGCCAGCTTTTTGGTTCTTCTTGTTGTTCAGGCTCACCTGGTCGCTGTCCACATCGGAGCTATATGGAAATCGCAAATAAAAGTTAGAAAGTTTGCCAAGTTGGCAGGTGGTTTTTGCGCGAGACTCACATTTCATCCGCCGAGGAACCGCCTTCGACCTTGGTCAGTATCTCTTTCTTGCCCTTTTTAGCTTTAACCATCTTCCCGCCTGCGACTGCAACACGCTCCTCCGCTCCTGGCCAAAAACGAAAAGCCGTGGATTATTCACCGCTGAAAGATCCGCACACGCGACGCTGCAGCAGCAGAAAATGAGGTGAAATGCGAGGATTTCGACGGTCGGTGATCCTCTGATGCGGTGGCCGCTTCAACGAGTTGCTGCTCCTGCAGAATCGGGCTATCGAGGGCTGAATTTGGCACGCTGGCTGGCCAATTTTCAATCGGTTCAATTTAGCCGTGGAAATTCTGCACACAAACACGTTGGGCGAGTGGGTGGCGCGGGGGGAGTGCGGAGGCGGGGGCGCAGTATGACCGTGCGAGGGGATAACTGAAAACGACAAGGGTTAGAGTTATCGATTGTACATGGTACCCTGTAACGGGAGGGTGAGGGTATCTTGTTTTTATATAAGGAATATTATTATTAAATTGGAATATAATAAATTTATAAAATGTAATATTAAGAAGTTTTTAAAAATAATACATTTTACTTACCGTCAGTTTTTAGTTGAATTGCGGCCAGGATTGCCTCATCGCCGGCATGCGCCATCTAGGGTGGACCATTTACAGTCGCTGAAAATGCGATTTAGTACTCATCACATGTAACGAGTGGTGTTTATTATTTATTCCTGCTCATACGCTAATTTAATGGGAAAAGTTGTGAACATATTCTATAAACTCATTTATCACTGAAGATTTACGACTGCGACGCTGTAGGGAACCATTTATGCTACTTCCTCTTTTACATAAATTCCTAACTATTTTACGGATTTTAAAATGATTTTATATATTGTTTGAGAATTTTGTGTGAATTTTTTATATCTCTTTCAGGTTTGATTTTTATGCTTAACTGACATTAAAATAAGAGACACAGATGAATTTAAACAAGTTAATAAGGGGGGGGGTCTGGAACCATTTCAGACCCATACATTTTGAACTGGAACTATAGCTTTTTAAAATTGTTCTTATTTTAGATGGCGGCAAACTTGTTTGAATAATCATAATACCCTCAACAACAATAAACAAAAGCGGTATATACTTAGTATATTTTTCAAAGCTACAAAGGTATTTTCTTAAGTTCCAACTGCGGTCCTACTAAATTCCTTCTCTAAAAAGTTTACGCTTTTGCCCGGTATTTTGATCCAGAGTTTTTCGAATTTCAGACTATTTACAATCGCAATTGTTAGGATTTCCCGTGTTCATAATCCACTATTTAAAGAACGTTAAGAATTCTTGTAAGTACAGCGAAATAATAAAAAGCCGGCTGTACATAAGCAAAAAGCCGGTTGAGAACTAGAGATTTATGTTTTTCAACCTGTAGCTTGACATCCTAGACAAATTGGTAATTGGACGATGTCCAACGAAGCATCCGGAAGTATTACTATCAAAGAAGAAGCATCCACGAGCGGATCGGCTAGCAATATTCCAGTGGAATCCCCAGAAACAGAGGTTTGTGTTTGTGTTGCAGTCCGTGTTTAAATGTGTGAGTGCGAAAGGGATGGATGCCGTGCAGGGATAACTGTAAAAACTGTTGCTCTCTTTTAGCTTGGAAACATGTGGTTTTTTAATTCATTCAAGTATTTTCGTGATTTACCTTTTTCTTTTTATTTTACACTGAAAATAAAATGAAATTAAAAATCAAACTTTGGGAAAAATTTAAATAATCGTAATTGTAAATGATAAAAAAAAATTAATATTACAAAAAATCAAAGTTAGTTTCTAAGATTTATATTTTATTTAAGTATGTATTCACTATAACATTTAACATAGTTTAAAGTATGAATTAAAAATATTTTTAAGTTGTGCTAAGTTTCTGATAATTAAGTGTACTATTATCTAGTGTTTAACTAAAATAAGGTGACTTTTATTATATTTCTCACTCTTCAAGATGTTTGAAATACAAAGAGATTTAAAGTACCCTCTCTCAAAGTTCTCATAAAATGTAAACAGCTTTACAACTTTAGGATCTTAAATTTTTAGATAAAATATGAACAAAAAATTCAAGATCTCACAACATTACAACTTTAGGATCTTAAATTTTTAATTAAAGTGTGAACAAAAAATTTAAAATCTCACAAAAAACTAAAATTTTTTATTAAAAAAAATTTGTATTTGAAAAAGCGATTACCATAAGATCATAAATTTTAGGGTACTTGAGTCTTCGGTCTCCAAAAACACTCCACTCGCATCCATCTCAAATGTTTACAATAAAGCCTGTTCCAATTTTCAAAATTCCAGGCTAAGAAACCGGAGATCGGCGCTGACAAGGCGGAATCGCTGACCGAAGCCGAGGGCGAGAAGGCGGCGGAGACGACGGAGACCCACTTGAAGCGACTGCAGAATCTGCGCAAGGAATTGAGCTACCTCAGCGAAACCGACTGGATGTACGAGAGTCTCGACAAGAAGGCGGCGCAGTAGAAACCCGAGAAGAAGAACGAACCAATTTATACCCCAAAAAGATCCAAAAATGTTCACATACGTTCGCAAGTTTTTCGCCAACCCGGATCGCGACCGGGAGCTAATCATGGAGTGTTTGGATCGGGAGAATCGCTTTCTGGATCAGAAAATAATGGAGGAGAAGATGGACCGTCAGCTTCAGGCGAATCCCTCCGAAATGGATGGAGTTATCACGAACCAGATGGGTGATCTTTCGCTGGGATTATCTGCGTTGGATATTAATAAAGAAGGTGCCTGTACCGCCAGAAAGGGAGTCATCACCAGTTTGGCCAGCGATCGTGGAGTCATAGATAAGGATGTCTTCTTCGACAGCAAGGTGGCCGAGGATATCTTCTTGGAGCTCCACGTCGGCTGTGTGGTGGAGTATCTGACCTTCAGGAAGGGAGAAAACACGCGGGTGGTCAAGGTGAAGCGCATCGTGGAGCACAATTGGGAGGATTCGAACCATAATAAGGTACTACCGTCCTCCATATTTATGTTGAGTAATCTTTAATCCTACAGCCAAAAAAAAAACTATGTAAAATCAACTATTGAATAGTGAAAACCCCAACGCATAAAAAATAGAAAATTGCCAAAAAAAAAAAATAGTAGATTACCTATAAAATTGTATTACCTACAGAATAGTATTTTGCCCGAAAAAAATTATTGTTTTTTTTTAAATTTATTTTTTTAAAAAACATCATCTGCAAAAGCGGGAATTGAACTCACGACCCAGAGATTATGAGTGGGATACTCTAACCACCAAAAGTCCAGAAAAATAGTTGACATACAATTTATAATTGTATTTTTAAAGCAACAAAATATTTGAAGGAAAAAAATAGTTGAGTAACGATATTAAATGTGGTGTTACTATTTAATGCCCCAAATAATAAAACAACAAAATACACGCAAACAAATAAGATAGTTTTGCGAAGATGTTAATTGAAACGTTACTATTATTTGGACAAATGAATAAACCAACAAAATACATGCAAATTTCGTAAATAGGTTTTCTACTATTTTAATTGTAAAATACTATTCAATGACCCAAAAAAACAAACAACAAAATACATGAAAAATTGAGAAAATTGTGAAATACTATTTTTCTATGTTGATTTTTAATGTTTTTTTGTGTGTTTAATAAAATATATCAATTAAAATTTGAAATAAAGATAGTATTAAAAGTTTCTAAAAATCCCACTTATTTCCAGATTGAAGAAGCTCTTGACAAACTGAAGAACGAGAAGCCCACCTGCTTCAACACCCAGATGAGAAGCGTTTTGGGCCTGATTCGCCAGCGAATGGCCGCCTCCATCGACGTGGAGACGGAGTACGGACAGCTAACCGTCGAACTGGACAACATCGAGATGACCTTCATACCCAAGACGGGCGACCGCGTGCGCCTGGAGTGCAACATTCAGCTGGACGATGGATTCGTGGACAAGCAGGGAGAGATTCTGCAGGTCAGCAAGATGTTTCCCACGCGCATCCAGCAGGCGGAAAAGTGCATCGTGGAGCGGGTTTACACGGATCTAGCGGTGCTGGGTCCGGAAATCTATGTGCTAAAGGCAGATGTGCCCACAGGTGTGGATCTTCACCTGGGCGACTTTGTGCTCGCCGATCTTATCGAGTGTCAGTATGTAAGTTCAAGGAAGAAGCTAGAAAATAATAAGAATTTCCCTATTAATGAGATTTATTTTAATTCCAGTCTAAATTCACCAGACGCGCCATTAAAATTACTCCCCTGGAGAAAAACTTTGGGGCCACTAGGGTCACTTCGCAGGGCTCTTCGGGTTCCGCCAGCAGTGGACAGGCGGTTACAGTTACTGGTATTAACCGCTTCATCACCACGGAGCTCTGGCAAAAGCAGAGTGTATCCCTCAAGTTGACCAACAATCTCAATCGCAAGTTGCGCCTGGAGAGCATAGTGGTCTCAAACGACAGTGAATCCCAGTTGAGTGTGATGGAACCGCTGGAGCCCACGGATATTGGCAGTGGCGCCGAGATAACCTTGCTCTTCGAGATTCACACACAGTTCCTGGGCGAAGCCACTGAAAATTATGAACTGATTTTCGATCGTTTCAAGGTGAAGCGTTCGTTTACTGTCATCGTTTGCGAAACCAAGGAGGAAGCCGCCGAAGCGGAGAAGCGCATGATAGCCGCCGAAACTCTGATTGCACCCGGTCGCAATATCCACCAGAGATCCAGATTTTATGCCAATCAGGTTTGGTGCAACAAGGTGGAGGTGATTCCAGGTGAACACATCGTAACCAAGCGGCGTTTTGTGGCCCTGCGATTGGGTTTCTTTGAGGTAAGGTCTAGATAATGCAATAAGATTCAAAGAATTTTGATTTTTTAGTTTTATTTGAATGAATTTATTAGAATTTTGAGTTAAATAGAATTGTATGAATTTTAATTTTGAGTTTAATAGTTTAATAATTCAAACGACCATTTCTTTTGAAGAAGAAAGGCCCATAATTTTGTGATTAAATCTGCCGGAATTTTATTTACTAAGCAGTTAAAATTGATTTGTTTAAAATGTTCCACATTTTGTTCTCAAAAAAAAAGCACAAATAAAATCTGGCAAATTCAAAAAATTCATAAAAATTATTCATTTATTCATTTAATTCGAAATTCAATTTATTTCACATAGAATTGAATTAAACAAATCAGAAGTTTCATGGAATACTGCGTTAAAGCAAAAATTGAATAATTCACGCGGGGCTCTAATTGAGATCTCTAAAGAAATAGATATATCTTAATCATATAAATTTATTTAATTCAGCACTTATTAAGTTACCATATTAATTCTTAATTAAATTCTCCCTAAAGGTCCCTGAGAAATTGCGACAAATCTATTTAACCGTTGAGAGGCGTCAGGAAATGTTTGATGCCATCGAGCAGCAGTATTCGTGCATCCTGGAGCCCCTGAGCATTAGTAACTATGTGCAGCGCTTCGGTTTGTTCCTGCATCTCGAGGAGATCGAGTGCTTCGTGAGCTTCCGCAACTACGATCGCGATCGAGCCCATTTCCTGCGGGATGGAGAGTTTCTGGCGCTGCAGATCGAGAATCTGGCCGAGCGTCGTCCCTCGCTGGTCGTGGGCGATACAGTGCGCGCCATAGATCCGTGGGCGGATCCAGGGGCAAGGAGCAACAAGTCCTACGAGGGCATCATCCACAAGGTGCTCTTCAATCGCGTGCTGCTCAAGTTCAACGCCAGTTTCCAGGAGAAATACAATGGCGAGGATTATCGTTTGGAGTTCTACTTCTCACGGTATTCGTTCCGCAAGCAGCACCATGCCATCTCGAAGATTGTCAGCACCATGGGCGAGGATTTCCTGTTTCCCAGCAAGGTGACCAAGCGCGAGAATCCCCAGCTGGAGGTGCGAATGGTGGGCGATGATATGTACCTGTATGATTCGAAGTTACCCTGGTACAATTCCTCACTCAATTGCATTCAAAAGAGGGCTGTCTTTAATATTCTGCGTGGTGAGGCCGAGGATATTCCTTATGTGATCTTTGGACCGCCGGGAACTGGGAAAACCGTGACTCTGGTGGAGACTCTCCTACAGTTGGTTAGAAATCTGCCAGGTGCTCGCATCCTAGTGGGTTGCCCATCGAATAGCTCTGCGGATTTGGTGACCAAGCGATTGATTGACTGCAATGTTTTGCTCCAGGGAGATTTCATACGTCTAGTGTCGCATAATCAAGTGGAAAGGGATTTGATTCCGCCCGAATTGATGAGCTACTGCGCCACCGCGGATTTCGGTTCAGTTGGCAGCTGTGAGGATAAGGTGGGTATAGATATAATCTTTAAAACTAGCTTAATTAAATCTCATTATCCCACAGATGATGGTCACCGAATCGGGATTGAAGCTGCGCTGCCAGGCCAAGTTTATGGGCACTCACCGCATCACCATCTCCACCTGCACCACTCTGGGAAACTTTCTGCAGATGGGCTTCCCGCCGGGTCACTTTACCCACGTTCTTTTCGATGAGGCGGGTCAGAGCACCGAACCAGAGACCATTGTGCCTATTGTAATGCTCACGAAGAAACGCAGTCAGGTGATTCTCGCTGGTGATCCTCGCCAGCTGCAGGCTGTGGTGGTCAATAGATTTGCGGGGAATAGGGGATTTTCCATGTCCTTTCTAGAGAGATTGCTGGAACGTTCGCCTTATAGAAAGGATCTTCAGCGATATCCCGAAAGTTCGGGCTATAATCCGTGTGTACTGACCAAATTATTGTACAACTATCGAGCTTTACCCTCCATAATGAGCACCTATAGCAAACTCTTCTACGATGACGAACTGATTCCGGTGGTTTCCGACAAGGATTCAAGGGAATTTCGATTGCTATCCAAACTACGTTGTGTTTTTGAGCCCGAAAAGGATATGCCGCAAGCGCATGGGACTTTCTTCTATGGAATCATGGGGGAAAATAGGCAGGAAAACGATTCCCCTTCGTGGTACAATCCCCAGGAAGTCAAGGAGGTGTTCCTCATGACTATAGCATTGTATCGCGCCAATGTGACGCCAGAACAGATCGGAATACTCACTCCATATTTAAAGCAGGTGAAAATGCTGCGAAATATGTTCATTGGCACCGATGTGGCCATGCCGAAGATTGGTTCCGTTGAGGAGTTTCAGGGACAGGTGGGTTGAAAATTGCATTTTATCTATTTAGATAGTAATTTTAAAAAACTATACTTTACAGGAACGTGACATTATGCTCATCTCTACAGTGCGTTCATCGGAATCGATCCTACGAATGGATGCCCGTCTATCCCTAGGATTCGTGGGTTGCAACAAGCGGATGAACGTGGCTGTTTCCCGGGCTCGAGCTTTGATGATCATCTTCGGGAATCCCCATCTCCTAGCCATCGACGAATGCTGGCGCCAACTCATCCTGTTTTGTGCCAACAATAACGCCTATTTTGGCTGTGATTTGCCCAAATCTATCGTAAATCAGGAGGATGAGGACCCTGTTCAGTTGGAGACATTCGTGCCTTAACTAAGGAATATCCATAGTAATTCTAAGAACCTGACCAAATGTATTCTCTGCATTCAGAGTCCTAATTTAGACAACAAAAGTGATTCCAATTGAGTTGGATTGAAGTAAAAAAATTTTCTTTTTTTAAACTATTATTACCAAAAAAAAATATGTAGAAATTTATTCGGGGGAAATTTGTATTAGTACACAAGAATTCAAATTTGTTGAATATATTGGAATCCAATCTTTTGTATTTACACAAATGCACTCTTAAAATTATATTCTACAATCTTGGGTTTTAATTCTTACATACCAATTTCAACAGATTTCAGTCGAAACGAGAGGGAATAGAGATAAGAAAAGTGTTTATAGCTTAAACAATTTTTTCCAAAAAAATTTAATATAAAAATCCCCTTGGCTGTCCGAATTCAGCGCTGTGCGATTTCAAGATTATAAAATCTTTTTTCTTAAATTTAGGAATGAACTTATGCACTATTCATTGGGGCGAAAGAGATTTCTGGTTTCTTACCGATCTGGCAACGCAGCTCGCTTAGCTTTGCCATGTGGCAACACTGAATGCAACCGTTAAGCCGCCATGTTTTTTGTTTTCTCCTCATTTGTTTTGATCATTCCGCCTTACAGTTATCGATATAAATAATCCTAGAATTTGGATAGTAAATATCTGCAGGGAATTACGACATTATGGACCAGAATTTGGCTGCCGAGCAGAACATCTTCGTGGTCACCCCCAAACCCGAGAAGATTCGCCCGCAAACGGACGTGGAAGTAAGTGATTCTCCCCAGGAATCTGATACTTATAATCTGGAATCTGGACTTAAAAGCACATATAATTTCGTTTCAGCGCCTGTCGAAGACGCACTGGCTCAGCGACTATGCCCGGGATATATTCTTCACCATGAGGGAGCAGGAACTCCGCCGTCTGCCCATGTTCTTCCTTTCGAACCAAGTGGAGGAGCGCCCGAAGTGCGTGGAGTTCCTGCAACTGGTGGCCCAAACCCACAAATTGGGTCGCTGTGCCACGCACTTGGGTGAGCACTGTACAGTGGAGTCTTAATAATCGGAACTATGATAGAAATCTGGGAAAGGAAACTGGGAATGGGGCTAAATAGCATCAACATATATGTGTTATTGATAAAAATTAGGTTTTTAAGGCCTTAAATACTTGATATTTACAGTAAAACCTTGATAAACTAATCCTTCAGTGGTATCCTAGCTATTATAATATCTGAACAATGTTATCCATGGAAGGGTACTTGAAATAAGGCTAAATAGTATCACCATCTATGTATTATTGATGAATAATAGGTTTTTAAGGCTTTAAATATTTCGCATTTACAGTAAAACCTTTATAATCTAATCCTACAGTAGTATCCTATGCTATTATAATATTATCCTATCTAAAAAGTAGCAATTTTATGAAGATTTAACAAAATGTACCTCACAGATAGAATTTTTGATAGAGAAAAGTATAGTAAATTTAAACATAATAATTTGTCAGCCTTAATTGTAGTTATAAACATCTTTAAAAACCAAAAAAAATAAAAATCCATTAATTAGTTGAGTTTTTAATGTAGAAAAATAGTTATCCATGATATAACTATATTTAAGGGAATATTATTTGTAAATCACTATAAAAATCATTAATATTTCTTTCCTTTCAGCCGTTTGATAGAACAAATTATAGTAATTTAAAATATAATATTTTTTGTCAGCCTTAATTGTAGTTATAATCAGCTTTAAAAACTAGAAATTGCATTAATTAGTTGAGTTTTTTACGGAAGAATAATAGTTTTTCATGACAACTATATTTAAGGGAAAATTATTCGAAAATCACTATAAAAATCATTAATACTTCTCCATTTTCAGCCGTTTATTACCTGGATCGCTTCGAGGACTACTACCAAGTGCGACCGGACAAGCTCTTCCTGGTGGCCCTCACCTGTCTTCATCTAGCAGCTCAGATTGAAAACACCGATGCGTTCATCCCACGCTATAGCGAGTTGAACCAGATGGTTCGAAATGTCTATGCCGTATCCGAATACAAGGTGGTGGAGAGGACATTGCTGTGCTTCCTGAACTTCGAGCTAGTGCGTCCCACGACGGCAAGTTTTGTGGAGCTCTTCGCCTGCAGTTTTGTCACCCGCTGCGATTATGCGGCCTACAACGAGATGTTGGATGAGTGCGAGAGGAGTGATAATATGCTGGCATATCGGCGATATGAGAGCTTCGAGCAAATGCTGGGTTTCTTAGCTCAGCTGCTGCTTCGCTTGGCGGACTATACTTTGAATAGTGAGTTTAGAAATCCTTTATAATGATTTTATAATAATACCCCTTTGTAGTTGCCAGGTTTACCAGTGAACTGCCCTCCCTTTTGGCCGCGGCCTGCATTGCTGCTGTTCGGCAGGTCAGCGGTATGAAGCGCTGGTCGCCTTACCTCACCGAACTGACCTCCTACAGCGAGGACCATGTAGTGCCCTATCTGGATCCCCTAACCGACTATCTGTACTACCAGATGATTCAGCCCATTTGCGACTATTCATCTGCTCAAAGCCAAAACAGCCAGAACTTGGCCAGTCCCGATTCTGGATTTGAGGAATCGCTGGCTGAAAGCACCGAGTTTTTGGTCACCGATGAAGTGGTCACTGTGGAGGTGGAGACCTACAACATTATCACCGTGCAGCTGCAGGACTCTCTGCCCGAAATACCAGCCAATCTTAAACGCCCGCGCAGCGAAGACAATCAAGAAAATCCCCAGCCTTTGAAACAAGCCAGACTCCAGAAAGAACCCAAAGATTTGTAGAAAATCCAAACAGTTTCCAGTTGCCTTAATAATTTCTAACGTAGATATGACCCCGTTCAATTTAGTTGAACCAACGCCATATCGTTAACATCATCAGAACTCTGCTTTATATATGTATTTAAGATATATTTGAAATTATCTTATAAACTTATGAATACAAAATGTCAAAAACTCAACAAAAAAGTAGTATTACCAACTAAAAACAACAAAGACATTATTTATAATATGGTAAGTTAAAACAATGGCCCTTGTTTAATTTTATCAGACATTTGTCGGGAGTGTCAAATTCAAAATCGCTTACAACTAAAAGGATTTACATTTAAATTTGGAGTGCCAAATAAGAGCTGTTGATTAAGGAACAATAAAAAGGTGATTAAGGCTTTCTTATGTCTTATTTTTACATAGGTTTTGGGACTTAAAAGTGAGTTTCTACGAAAAAAACGAGATAGTAATTGGGGCGCGAAGTTATCTTTGGACAATTACTAAGAGATTTACCTTTAAAAACGTAAAATTAGATAGCTATTTGTTATTTTTACAAGATCTAAATGTGAAAAAATATTTTAAATGCAAAGGAAATTTACTGTTTACTGATTATTGCCCAAAGATAACTTGTGATCCCTAAGATAACTCAAATAAGAGTGTTATTCAACCGGGATAGCCACACACACACTTTCAATTTGATATATATCTCATAAATCTAGCCTAGCTGCTAAATGCACAAAGCGGGAATGTGGGGAATCTTTCGTTTCAAAAAGGAATGGAAAATTTCGAACTAACTAGCTTACATAAAACCTGCATTGCTATCCCAGTGTCGTTTTGCAGTAAGTAGTTTAACATAAAGGTCTTTTGAATTTACAACATTTACATGCGATCTGTACAAGGATCAGCGTTTTTCATCGCTGCATGTCGCGTCGTTTCAGCACATCGAAGATCACATCGGAGGCGTTTTGTTTGTTGCTAGCATCAATGCCCGACTCGTCCTCCGAGTCGGTTTGCTCCAGCAGCGGCACCGTCAGCGTGGAATGCGATTTCACGTGCACACCCACAATGGCACTGCCCTCGCTGTTGAATTTATATTCCCCCGGCGACGACTCATCCTGGTCGTTGTCGAATTCTAGGTCCTTCTGCTGCCGCTGCGTCTCCTTCATGTTGCTGTACTTGTGCAGCAGGTGGCAAACAATGCCAGCCAGGCAAATGACCAGGCCAATGTAGTTGATAACACTCAGCTGGTCTTTTTTCAGCGTCACCGCGAGCGCCAACTGGCAGATGTCCTTAAAAATGCCGGCTATCGAGAGGGTCAGGCTGGAGGTCTTGCACAGCACCAGGAACTCGGTGAACTCCATGAGGAAGGCCAGCAGGGCGCCGGCTGTGATCCTGGCAATGGCCCAGGTTATCTCACTCGAGGTGTATTTGTGCAGATCTTCAAGAACCGCGGCGAGTTTGGCACCTATCGAGGGATTTAAAGTTATTTTATATGATTTTTTATAATATTTGTTGTATTTTTACCTTCGATTCCCATAACCAGCGGCACCAGCGAGGCAATCATCCACGGCTGCATGTAGTATATCATGTCTATGGGGTTGTGCAAGCCCAGCTTCGATTTCTGCATTATGAACTGCGCAAAACTCCAGCGCAATCCGCTGCTTAGCGAGGCGAAGAGGATGAAAAAGAAGCCCAGGGCATTGAACTGCGTGGACTTGTAGGTGAACATCACCAGGCCCGTGCCTATCAGGCCCACAATCGACACCAGATACCAGCTCTGAAAGTAAATAATTCGGTTAATGCACAATCTATATGGGGGTGCTAAATAAAAAACATTTGCTGCAACGCATTTCGAAAAGGTGTAAAAAATATGAATGTTTTTATACTCATAAAAGTGACTTCATTTAACTCGAGGTTTTTAAAATCTATTTTTACTCTTTTCATATCATCCAACTGATAAACATCTGCAATAAAATTAATAGCAATATCACCACATGTTTATAAATTACTGAAATATCCTTATCTACTAGTAAAAATGACTGGTTATATTTTTGTACATGAAGTTGCTTACAATTAAATGATAATATTGCAACATTTGTTACCTACAAAAATATTTGCTGAGATATTGCTTTTTATCTTTTCCTTATCATATCGTTTTTATCATTAATTGTAATTGTTTTGATTTTAGCAAATTTAATGACTTTTTTGTCAAATTCCATTTGAAGTTTCATTCGAGTTACAGTGAAAAACAATTAAAAATAATCTTTGTGGAAATAATTCTTTCACGTTTATCAATGTAATTAAAAATAACACGTTAAAGATTACTTTTGAGCTCGAAGAAGAGTTTTTCAGTAATAAAAGAGATATGAATTAAGTTCACATATCATATGAATTTCCAAGAACTCGAGGAACATACATGAAAATAAGTAATTAATATTTGATAAAGGGCTTAAAAAGTATTGAAGTTTTATCAGTCTTTTTGAGATATGACGAACTTGCTTGCTGTTTAAGAAGCTTTCCTAATAATTGAATAGATAACTTGGTGTATAAATGATTTTATAGAAACACTTTTTTACGTGAGTTGGCATAATATTAATTGTTTTAACACGAAATAACCAACACAGGAAAACATTTTTTATGCAAAATAGGGTAAATTTTACCATGGGTAAGATCAACAAAAAGACGATATGATTTATATCAAATTTATGATTTAAACATATCAACATGATATTGTATCATATCATATAAAATACCAAATTTAGTATTTTTAGAACAAATACTCTAAATAAGATCAAAATGATATGAATAACTTGATCAATATGATATTTTTATCATATTATATAAAAAACTAATTTTTATCATTTTGATATGAATAACTTGATCTTAAAAAAAACGTATATTATTGACCAGCACATATCAATCTGATATTTGTCAATTTTTTTCTCTGTATATGTTTATCTCATGTGTTCAAATATTTATAGTTTTCCCACTGCCTCACCTTCTTTTCCAATCCCAAGGCGATGGCGAACAGCAGGATGAACACGATGGTCGATGACTTGGTCATGGTGTACAGGGAAATGGGGACCAGGGCCAATCCCCAGTTGGAGAACCCAATATCGATGGCACTGGCCACGCCCGTTGGAGCCATCTTCCTCAGGGCCACGCGCCAATCCAGCTGGACCCTCGACCGGCCCATCCGCAGCCTGTAGATCCTCCGCGCCAAGGCGGCCAGCAGGAACTTCACCACCAGATGATAGGTGACAATGGCCAGGGGAAAGGGCATCTGCCGGTTGATGTCCGTTTGATAGAAGGTCAGCGATATGGAGAGTGTTAAGTACAGGAAGATGATGGCCAGAGTGCCCACGGCCATTTGCATCATCATGTTCTCCTCCTGGGCCAACGTGGCCGTTTCTCCCGCCGCTCCACGGGATTCCACCGAACCCGACGACTTTCCGCTGGCGTATTTGAAGTTGCTCTGACGCAAACGATGGCCATTGTTCAGCTGTTGAGTTTTCTGGGCCAAGTTGAGCTCGATCTCCTCGTCTTCCGCATCGCTGGCATTTCCATTTCCATTCCCATTTCCATTTCCTCCGCCCGCCTCAGCAGAATTCAGGCGCTCGTACTTGGCCGCCACCATTATATATTATCGGTAGTACCTGGTAAACACAAGATGATATAGTACATACGTGTGAAATGGAGAAATAATGGCTAAAATGGGGCATACTTCTTCTTGTTGCGTTATCTTGAAGTCTACGTCCATATGTATCAATATGTTCCGGGTATTTTGCTATCTTCGACGCTTCTGTCTATGTGTATATATATTCCCCGTCGGAAAGTCGCTCGTGCAATAATGGAAATGCCCTTAATGGGTTTTTACGCTGCCATTTCGTCCAAAAAACTTCTGTTTTTCGATTTCTATTCTTGCCAACTGTTTATACACAGCCAGTGCTGCCCGCTTGGCTGGTTACCCGCTAGATGTGCGCGTGTGATTAGCGGGGGCGGGCTAGGGCAGCGGTTTTTCGGCTATAAGCGTCAGCTCTGGCAGCAGGTGGGTGGCTGCCTATCGATGTATCGATTGCCGCCAACTGGACAAATTTATTTTAAATAAATTAAATTCAACTCTTAATACTGTTTGTATTTATTTTTCAAATTCTTCTCTTATGTTTGTAATACAGATTTAAAGTAACATCAAAATTATGAATTATAAAATTAAATAACATTTGTATGTTAAACTAACGATTGAGAAGATTTATTTTTCCAAATTAAGAAATCGGATTTTCTCATCTGTGGGTTCGCAAGTGCTTAGTTAGATTTGATGAATTTGTAAAAGACTTTGGACAGTGGGAACACTTATATGGTCGTTCCCCTGTGTGGACTCGCAAGTGCTTAGACAGAGCTGAAGAATCTGTAAAAGACTTTGGACAGTGGGAACACTTATATGGTCGTTCTCCTGTGTGGGTTCGCAAGTGCAAATCTAGATGTGAAGATTGAGTAAAAGACTTTGGACAGTGGGAACACTTATATGGTCGTTCCCCTGTGTGGACTCGCAAGTGCTTAGACAGAGCTGAAGAATCTGTAAAAGACTTTGGACAGTGGGAACACTTATACGGACGTTCTCCTGTGTGGGTTCGCAGGTGGGACTTTAGAGATGAAGATTGAGCAAAAGACTTCGGACATTGAGAGCACTTGAATGGTCGTTCTTCTGCGTGGGTGTGCAAGTGCCTTGTCAGAACTGAAGAATTATCAAAAGACTTTGGACATTGAGAACATTTGAAGGGTCGTTCTCCTGTGTGGATTCGCAAGTGCAAATCTAGATGTGAAGATTGAGTAAAAGACTTTGGACAGTGGGAACACTAATGTGGTCGTTCTCCTGTGTGGACTCGCAAGTGCTTAGTTAGATTTGATGAATCTTTAAAAGACTTTTGACATTGAGAACACTTGAAGGGTCGTTCTCCTGTGTGGACTCGCAAGTGCTTAGTTAGATTTGATGAATCTTTAAAAGACTTTTGACATTGAGAACACTTGAAGGGTCGTTCTCCTGTGTGGACTCGCAAGTGATTAGACAGATGTGAAGAATTTGTAAAAGACTTTGGACATTGGGAACACTTGAAGGGTCGTTCTCCTGTGTGGACTCGCAAGTGATTAGACAGATGTGAAGAATTTGTAAAAGACTTTGGACATTGGGAACACTTGAAGGGTCGTTCTCCTGTGTGGACTCGCAAGTGCCTATATAGAACTATAGATTGTGCAAAAGACTTTGGACAGTGGGAACACTTATATGGTCGTTCTCCTGTGTGGACTCGCAAGTGCTTAGTTAGATTTGATGAATATTTAAAAGACTTTGGACATTGAGAACACTTGAAGGGTCGTTCTCCTGTGTGGACTCGCAAGTGCAAATCTAGATGTGCAGATCGAGTAAAAGACTTTGGACAGTGGGAACACTTGAAAGGCCTTTTTCCCGTGTGAGTTCGCAAGTGAATTTTTAGATTATATTTAGTTGATAAAATCTTTGAGCATTGTAAACACTGCAATGGGTTTTTTCCTGAAGCCATTTTCTCTAAATCTTCTTCAGAGCTCTCCATCCTATCTTCGGAATCGATCTGATCTATTTCGAGTGTTTTTTCTTGGCGATTGTCTCCAATTGATTTATCTTCTTCGTTTGTCTCTTCCTCAGAGCAATGGGATCCTTTATTCTCGCGTTCCTCCTCCCTTAATTCTTTAAAGTAGCAAAAGAAGTGGTGGCTTCTTTCATACGTTTCAATAATATCGAATGAATTCCGTGCATTCTGCAGACAGGCTGCGCAAATGGTTTTGGGTAGTAGATCGTCTTTTTCCACTTTACAACCGGTGCACTGAGAAATCATCTTTGCAATGGAAATCCCGGATTCGTGATTCGCATCGAAAATATTGACCATATTTTCGTAAGGTATCAGGCAAGCACGACATATTGAAGACTCCATGATCTGAAATTATAAAATTATGGATTACAAATTATAAATAGTGGAAAAAATAATTAATAATACGTATCGGTTTTATTATTAAACTTACTTTTTGTATAAACACAACTTTTGTTACTAGTAGAATATCTTCTTATATATCTTATCTTGCACGATAGTATAATAAAATACAATAAGCACAGTAAAAGTTGGTGTGCGGAGACGTGAAAAAGTCAATGGTAATTTTTGTTTTGATTGTAATTGGCGTGACGCCGACTTTATATACGAATTTTGCGGTTCACAAAAGGTAATTACAGGTCTTGGCGCCTTTAGAAATTTGGCAATTTTATGTTTCCGACCCTTAAACCATTATATTAATCAAAGGTAATCCTCTCTTTAAGGGATTTGGTCATGTGATTTTCATTTTCGATTTGAAGAAAGGGTTATTCCTTGTGGTTTGTGCCAGGTAGTATTCGGTTTATAATCGGGTATATACTTATATTTAATAGTTTAACGTTAATTACCTGACACAGGTACTTGCCGCCTTTGGATAATCCGTAATCTTAGGTTTTACGATGGTTCAAACTTCGCGCAATATAGTTGGAACAAATCTGAAACAGAATCATTGGTTAGACTTACAAATATAGACATAGACTTAAGAATGTATTGGATTAGTTGCATATTTTGTTTATAATATGACGATGAAATTGCTCGAAAATGAATGATTTTTTGAAATAGGTCACAAAATATTCTAAAATATTGCAAAATCCAACGGAAATTCACATAATATTAGGAAAATACCTTAAAAATCAGACACTGGGATATTTGTATTTATTGTTTTTTATTCACTTTCATTTCAGGAACCACATTAATTTATTTCAAACTCAAAAAATGCCTTGTTTTCAACTTTTAAGTGCCTTTAAATAAATGCATTTTGCATGGTGGTTTTTTCACTACAATTGTTTGTGATAACAGATAATCGTATATGTAAACTGATAATAGTGATAATAGATATAGTTAACTTTAAGCCTAGGCGGTGTTTAAGTGCTGCAGGACCACAGGAGCTGTTTTAAAAAGAGGATTATTAATAAAGGGAACTTTTTACATAAGAATTTTACAAACCCAAACGAACGACCGCGATTATGGTGCCAAAAAGAAGGAAATTGAAGCGGACTTCGGAGGCCACGCGTTTCTGCTCCTCGGCGGGATCGGGCTGCGATTGTTGGAGGCGGAACATCTTTATATTTAATTAATTACTTATTTATTTACAAGAAAAACGTGCGGCTATTTTTTTCTTTTTATTTTAAAGTGACCGTGGCTCGATTTGTGGAACAAACCTTCCGGCAAGAACGTATGTTAGCTGTTTCGGAAACCACAATAGCCAAGTCTTCCACCTCATTTTTTCGATATATTTTTCGCTAGCACCAAGGTCACACTGATTCGAAGGATAAAATCCGTGAGTATCCTGCTCGCCAAAAAAAGGATTTTTAGTTGATTTCAGCAGCAGCAACTCGTCGGATTCGTTGCGCGTTTAAAATTCGCGAATTTTACCCCCAAAGCTCGTACAATTAAAATCGAAGCAGAGGCAGAAGAGAAACAAGAAACACAAATAAAATGCGGTGCGGTTTAAAAAAATAAAATTTTGAATCCTTCTTTTTTGAAACAAAGAGTGCCCGGAGAAGGCACAACGCACAAAGTGAGAGAAAATATCTATATTGGAGTGCAGTAAATAGAATACAACCAAACACCAAAATGTCGACAGTTGTGGAACAGGTGAGAGATGAGCGAAAAAGAATGCTAATCAAAAATATCGAGATTCCTTTTTTTTTAATTTCCCGAGCTTATATAAACGGAGATTATCAGCCATTAGGCGAAATGTTACGGTATTTCGACTACAAGACCGCCGACTGCGTAACATTCAGTGTCAGTGTCTGTCAGTCTGCGAAGGTGTGGGTGTGTGAGTGTGTCTCGATTAGGGTGGCTCAATTTCAAAGGACGAAGGGACTAACAATACATAGACTAATAGTAAGGGGGAGTAAAGTTCAAAGGCTAATTTTCTCAGATATTTCCGAAGAATTAATGATAAATGTTTTTGAGACTTCTACAACTTTACCTTTGTATGATCGAAGAATTATATATAAATGTTTATGAATCTTTTAAAACTTAAGGGAATAATATTTCCAATGTTTTTTTAACATTTACAAATAAGGTTAATATAAAGTCTCAATCAAGAGTAGACTTGAAATGAAAATAGTTTATTTATATTTCATTATTATTTTGCATTGATTGTAATTTATATAATTTAATATTTGGTTTGTACTTGCTATTCAAAATAATTGTTATTATATATTTTCTAATTAGGAGGTGGTGGACAAGAGACTGTGAATTCAAGATGATAAATTGATTTAAAGTTTTTTTTTTCTGTAATTCTTACGGATTACTTTAGATATAAATGTCAGATTTAAGCCAAAAAATATTTCGAGCCACCCTAATTTGCAGGATACTCCCGCCTTTGTGTCTTGGTATGCGTGCGTGTCTGTGTTTGGTTGTTTTTGCATTTCCATGGCAACGTAACGGCAACTTCCTGAACGCCCGCCGCTTTCGATTTGACAGTAAAATTCGATTAATTTCTAATCGGCAGAAATCAGTGTGACAAGTGCAGACGACTCCTGGCCAAATATAAATAGCTGCCATTTTGTAAACCAATTTCAATTCCCCATTCACCCAAGCACAAGCACACAGATATGCGAAATACAAACACACTGGCGCGATGTAGCATGCAAATTTGGTTTGCCCATGTCGGTGTGTGGGTGAAAGTGTCCTAGTGTCGGTGATTTGACATTTTGTTGCACAAAACCTTCATCCTTCAGCCATCAGACCATCAAACCATCAGCCAATGCAAAAGCGCCTTGGGCGATTTTCAAGTGCAGTCACACTCCCCAATCGACTCGACTTGACGTCATAAATGCATAATGAAGAGGTCGCTGTTTTTGGGTACAGTGGAGCCTCCAGTTGGGCTAATAAACTAATTTTTGGGAATTTAGGTAGAACTCTTAAAGTAGATTTTATAAGGTAATAAAGAAAAAGATATTCTTGAAATTTTTTTATCTAAGCTATGCTAAAACCCCTCGAGAACTATAGCACCATTCAACTTACAACAATTTGTAATTTACTTTTTAATTCTTGCAATTAACAATTAAATTGCAAGAATTAATTTTATGAGGTCATAAATAAAGAGTTATTAACTTTTCCTGAATAAGTGGCTATTTACCTTTTAATTCTTTGTATTTAATTTGTAAAGTAATAACAAAAAATTATCGAATTTAATAAACAAACAACTTGCTTTAATTCTAGTTCATATCTATTTGTAAATAAATAAATATGCAATTTAATATCTTCATAATTTATAAATACAAAATAAACGTTATGTAAATTGAAAAAAAAATCGACCAAGCAAAATTAATGTAATAACTTCTACAAATATTTTCTCTATGGCATTGAACTAAACACATTTTTGTTCTCTTTTTCCAAATAAATCGAGCAATTAGCCAATGTGTTGGCACCTTGTTTTTTTCAAATAGAGAATGAAAAATGTATAAACAAGGAATTAATTTATTGAATACAATTTTATTTGGCCTCTCTCTTTGACCCAAATTGCTGTTGACTTTCATTTAGTAAAATGGCCAAATGCCATTTGGCTTTATTATTTCAATTTCGTTTGACTGCATTTGGCATTTTTATTAAAGAACTATTTTCGGGTCATAAAAGTCACCATCGTCGCTTTGAAAGTTATACAACTAATTAAAAATTTTGAATAGTAAGTTCTTAATTAGGCAAGTTAATAAAGGAAGAGTTTGTGTTTTTATACCGTTGTTCTTTATAAACTTCGCAGATCCTGTTATTCACATTAGGCGAGAGAATCATTGGTACTTTGGTAAATTACCCTCAACCTAAGCTGATTTAAAGATTTCCTTGTGGCACGTTCAACTTTTCCAATTTCATTTAATTCCTGCCACTGCGGCTTTAATCAATTCCCCCCAGCTGGGACCTGGAACCCAACATCCGAGAGTAAAACTTAATATTTTCCTGCTGGAATTTCCCAGTTCTCCTTGATTTTCATCCCGTCAAGTCAAAGTCACTGGGAACTGGGAACTTTTGTTGCATACTTTTCTGGGTGCGCATGTAGCGCGAGTCATTACGTTTTATAGACTTTATAAGAAGTTTCGCCTTATGCAGTTTGCTCAAAACTTTTCCACCTAGGTAAAATGCATGTGCGTATATGCGTGTGTATCTTTGGCTTTTTGTTCCCCTCGCAATTGTGGCGGCAAGATAAACATTTCGGCGCGTTTCCGCTTTTATGGCCGAACATTAAAGTTTCTGGATGCCGCGCTGATGGATGTAAAGTGGAAAATCGGAGAGATTTTTCATGCCGCCGGCAAATGCCGAAGTCATAAAATTAATTTACAGGAAAGGTTCTTTACTAAATCTGGAATGTTATAGGTTGCCTAAAAAATTATACTTTAAAATAGTTTTATAGGGAAAGGGATAAAAAGATTTGTTTTGCTTGACTGCAAAAATCGAACTAAAAAAATTAAGAAAGAAAGGAAAATAAGCCACAGAAAGAAAAATAAGAACAATATTTATTAGCATATTTTCCTATTTTATTTTATTATTGTTACTATTCTCTCAGAACTTCCCTATGAAAATAACAAATTTAAGTAAACATCGTATCTTGGCTTACTCTTCTTGATATCTCCTTTTATTTTATTCCTCAAGCTGAAGTTCTTGTGAAACCTGAACTTATAATAAAATATTTCAATGCTTGATGCTTTAATTTATGCGGTCATAAAGGCCAAGCGCCTGATGTACATATAGATATACATATATATACATAAATACATAAAAGTAGCTACCCCGTCAAGTGCAACACATAGGCTAACTATGCGGCTCCCCTTTTTAGCCTGGCCTTTTAGCCCCCTTTGTTGTTACGTGAGAGGCTTCTTTGGCCACCCACTTTCAACCCCCAATTTTCCCCCGTGCTTTTTTCTGTGTGTGCGCCATTTTGTCAGAGCATAAATTACAACTTCAGGTGTAGTTTTGCAGGTGGGGAAAGGAGAAAGGTGAAAGGCACTGCCGTCTGTTGCTGCTGTCAGTGTCGCCGGTTGTTGTTGTTGTTGCTGCTGCTTACATAATGTTAATGATGCTGCCCCAGCCGGCAAAACGGAAAATGGGTGGAAAACCAGGGGGAGGGAAAACTCGTTTCATGCTCTCTACCGAAAAACAAAAGTCAAAAGAAGAGCAGGAACTGTCGCTTGTGACCTACGTGTGTACAATGGCCTCTAGTTTACAGTGCCTGCATCCATCCTGCCCCGGCTGGCTGATGTCCTGCGTCCTATGTCCTTGTTATGGCCATTATGTTGCCATTTTTTTACCCTTCAAATTGAGGTGTATTATGTCCGAGAAAATTCTTAAATTGTTATTTTATTAAGAGTGACTTTTTGTGCTTGGTTTTCTTTCTGCGGAATTTGCACAGTTGTGAAAAATAATTTGTAGAAAAAGAAATGCTAGCGAAATAACATTGTTTTATTTGTCAAAGGAAATGTCCAGTCAATTATAAACTTTTTTTTTATAAATTAGCCTCAGAAATATTAAAAACATTATTTTTTAAAGTAGCAAAATAAATTTTATATTTTTACAATAATTCTGTCACATTTGAGTTTGTTTTTCCATATATTTAAAAAAATTTTAAATGAATTGTCTGGCTACAAAAATATTAAAAACATTATTTTTTGATTTCTCATATATCATTATTATATTTTAAATTTTGTTTAAATTATATAAGTATTATTCGCTCACATTTCGGCTTGTTTTCCTTTTTAATAACCAAGACAAATGACTGCATGTATTAAGTTATAAAATTAAAAAAAAAGATTTATTAAGGAAACATTTCTGCAAGTACATAAAAAGATCCTATTTTTTTCGAACCACTCGACATCACCCTTAATCCTTGGCCCTCATATCCTGGAATAAAAGGACATATATATACATATATAACATCTGCTGACTCATGCTTTTTTCATCTCTCTGCTTTCGCATCTCCATTTCCTTTTCATATTTGCTGTCCCCTGCATATTATTTCAATTTGGCGGTGCAACAAAAGAGTTTTCCCCACTTTCCGTTGTGAGTCACATGGCGTATGCGTAATGCAAGAGCAAAAGGAAAAAAAGAGTGAGGCTGCATATCCCAAACCCAAGTTTCCCCAAGGATAATGGAGCTCGTTATGCTTATTTGCCCGCCCACAAACACATGCTCACATGACTGAGTGTGGAGTAGAGTGTATGTTGCAAAGGGAAATTGCCCCCGAGGTCCTGACATGCACACACTCCCACATTCACACACACACATGGCGAAAGGATATCTGCAGGGTTCATGGCCCCGAGCTGACCGCCAATGGACTGCATGCCGTAAAATTGCTTGCCCTTTGTGCATCCTTGATGTGTTCATCTGTCCCGGGCACTCAAGGTCAAATCCTAGATGTTTTGATTTAATTTATTGCCGCATACATTTGAGAAGGCTCGTAAAAGGCGAAAAAGGGGCCAAGGAAAAGCATTCCCGGCGAAATATCTGCGGGAAAATGAAATAATATTTCCAAATTTCACACTCCCTTTATATAAAATTTAAAGAAAAGAAGTGAAATAGAAAGAAAGAAAAATACAAGTTCTAAAAGAACTCATTGATAATTTTAACAGAAAGATTTAAGATTTAATCTAATA